TTGAACAGCCCAGTACCTATGTTCTAAAAATACATATACAAGTTAAAAAAATATGTATTAAGTGGATTCAAACCAGAGGCTTATATTGCTTTTGAGAATATTTACATGTGATCAGCTGTTTAAGGAGTTAAGTTCAGCTGGCCTGAGCTAAGATTTAGTAATGGGCAAGCACAGATCAAACCCTATGGCCAGAACCTTAGTCTTTTCCTTAGTGAACAAGAAATATGTATGGAGACATCAGACTAGATGACACAGAGAGATAATACCCAGCACCAGAAGTCTTGAACACTTTCCAGCACTGTGGAAGACCGGTATGGCCAATCTTTAGGCCAAGATTCAATGAAGAACATTAAGAACAATTGTAAATTCATTCTTACTTGGCAAAGCACATCACTTTATGCTTATCTTTAACCTGTGATTATTGAAGATAATAAAATTTATGAGCTCACTTAAAATTAAGCAAGAAATTTATTGTTTTGTTGAACAGAATTCATAGTATGCTGGGGAGAAAGTAGGCTGGCCTGCCGTGGCCAAGGGAGGCTGTTTTTATATAAAGCTGCATGACAAGGTAAAAACAGGGAAAACTTTTTGAAGAAGATTTCCTCATCCTCACTTCCCACTCCATATCCTCCCACCTTCCTAAATTATCCTTTTTACATCTCAATTGATGGAAAGACAAAGAAACCACTGTAACTAAGAAGAGCTGCAGAGCATAGCAAAATTTTCAAGGGGCAAGACTGAAAAAAGCAAGTCTGGTCCAGCTTGAATATATGAGGCAAACTAAGCAAAAGAAAGCTAAAAATGTGTATTAACAATGAAGGACAAAGAGTATCATAAGCCTCATTGCTGCAGTCTGTTAAAGCATTTGCAGCAGACAAAAGATACAAGAAGAATTAGCAAGTAGAATTAATAGAAAAAAAAGGATAAAAAGGTTTTAACAAAATTATTACATTAGTTTTTTCATAATCATAGAATCCTAGGGGTTGGAAGGGACCTCGAAAGATCATCTAGTCCACCCCCCCTGCCAGAGCAGGGTCACCTAGAGCACATCACACAGGAATGCATCCAGATGGGTTTTGAATGTCTCCAGTGAAGGAGACTCCACAACCTCCCTGGGCAGCCTGTTCCAGTGCTCTGTCACTCTCACAGTAAAAAAAAATTTTGGGTATTCACCTTGAACCTCCTATGCTCCAATTTGCACTCATTACCCCTTGTCCTGTCACTGGTCATCACTGAGAAAAGCCTAACTCCATCTTCCTGACACTCACCCCTTACATATTTGTAAACATTGATGAGGTCACCCCTCAGTCTCCTTTTCTCCAAGCTAAAGAGACCCAGCTCCCTCAGCTTTTCCTCATAAGGGAGATGTTCCACTCCCTTAATCATCTTAGTAGCTCTGCGCTGGACTCTCTCAAGCAGTTCCCTGTCCTTCTTGAACTGAGAGGCCCAGAACTGGACACAATACTCCAGATGCGGCCTCACCAAGGCAAAATAGAGGAGGAGGAGAACTTATCTTGACCGACTAACCACACCCTTTCTAATGCACCCCAGGATGCCATTGGCCTTCTTGGCCACAAGGGCACATTGCTGGCTCATGGTCATCCTCCTGTCTACCAGGACCCCCAGGTCTCTTTCATCTACACTGCTCTCAAGCAGTGGAGTACATGCTCTAGTATTCTGACTTAGGCACTTGTACATATCTCTCTTGTTGTTCCGAATGAAGCTCAAGCATACGATTAAAAGTCTTTTCTAAATAAGAGTGTTTTTCTGAGATCAGACTGAAGACAGGAATGGAGAGTGCCTTGTACAGGAATCACATTTCCAGACAGAGGTTCAGGTTCAGCCATGTGCATGTGTGATGCTATATTTGAAAATTGTGTATGCACGTATCACAGAGGGAGTACTTAATGTGCTTGAAGTTGGCAGCATGCTTGAGCACCCTGTTAGATTGTGGTGAGAGGGAGAAGGTAAAAGCTGTAAAGGAGAAAGAAAATACTTGTGAAAGGGTTAGGCATTTTTCCAGATTGCTGGTAGACTGAAGTGTGCTTACTATGAATGCTGTAACTTGTTACGTAGGTCCTTCAGAGCAGAATTCTGCTCTCATACCCAATATGACTTTGAAATTCAGACTTTGACATTTCCAGGTCCAGGTAACGTTAAAAAAATAATGACTGGTTTTAACGAAAAGGGATATGATTATTTTTATTTCTTTTTCAAGGAAGGGAAATAGGGGATAGGCTGACAGTTTGAAAGCAGGTAAAAATCCCTACATTCCACTTTTTCAGAGAACTAAAACCTATGCTTTAGAAAAAAAAAGTTAATTTAAAAAAATTACTGAATACTAACTGATTGACTGTTTTTAAGAAATAAACTGAGAATATGTTTGGTTTTATCAAATTAACATCTTGAAAGGAATAACTATTTTGGAGGCAGAAAACATCAAATTAGAGAGGTCTTGCTATAAGGGCTAAATGACTAATTTGACTATTGCCGTGATTCTATAGAAAATAATGAGAAATTGAGGAAAACATTAGAAGTATGCATTAGAAAGTTTCATTTTGTTCCTAAGTGAACATTCTTTGAAGTTGAAGAAGCTCAGCTACCTATTTTACCTTTCTCTTTCTTAGTAT